GTTTTATACAGTTTGAATTGATTTTAATTCCGTAGACAAAAGGCACTCGCATTCTTCAAAAACAAAAAAAAATTGCAATAATAGAACAAAAAGAAATAATAAAAAATACAGTAAAGATTCTTGTACAAAGATTTAGCTTGCTTTGTTACTTGCTCGCATGCAACTCTCTCGCTTGCAATTTGCTACATACCTTCGGCACTCGCTCTATCACTGGCTCTAACACGTGTGCACACTACGACGGTCGCTCTGGAAAAGGGAAGATGTCAATTGTCGCTGCCAGGTCCTACTAGAGTCCCTAGAAGGAAGAATCTGGCCATTCACCGTCATTGCTCTCATTGGTCAATCCCATGTTCCCTTAAAATGACGTCACCAATCTCATAACACAGAAATCGTATATATAGCACATGATCCACTAAAAACTATAAATGTGTTGTATGATGTGTGTATGCGTGTGTACATACATGAGCCACATTTACGACGTCATTTTGTGGGACATGGCCAGACCAGAGAGGATCCTAAAAGCGGCCCTATCCGCGATTTAGCTGGGACCCGCAATGAGCTGGTTTCAGCGCCTCTGGAAAGTGGATGTTGAATTACTAACTAGAGAGACCAATGAGAAGCACGTTTTCCGTCCAACGCGTGTTTTTCATTGGTCTTTCTAGTTAGTAGTTCAACATCCACTTTCCAGAGGCGCTGAAACCAGCTCATTGCCGGTCCCAGTTAGAGTCCTAGATTATCAGAGAAGCGATCATGGACATAGGAATATAAGGGGAGCATAGAATTGCGGGAGGAAGCCACTGGACGGTGCGACGAGGTAAAGATTTGTCTAAAATTGATTGGCCTGTTAGTTTGTGCAAGCGCAAAGATATATAAGTTCTTGTGTCCATATGATACACACATATATAATAGACCGAGTATCCCTATGCTTTTGCTGTGGAGGGGGTGAACTGGGACCCAATAAGAGTGAACTAGGCAAATCTTCCCCCCGCATTTCGGCTTCACTCCCCTCGCCTAAGTTATGATTTTGTGCTCTGCCCCCTTATATTCCTATGTCCATGAGCGCGACTGGTGTTACGAATCCTAATAGGCTCGCAAATGGCCAATCATAAGATTGATTTATCGGTATTATAAATGCCTACCGAATAAATCTATCTTATGATTGGCCATTCGACGCCATTTTTAATATTTTCTAGTCCTTTTGCAATACTGCCATAAGCTGGTCGCGCTTCTCTGATAATCTAGGGCCCGTATTTATAGTCAAGACTTATTTTCAAGATCGTCTTAAGTACAGTCTTAAGATGGCGCTTCGATTCATAGTCGTGAAACAAGTCAATACTTGAGCAAAATCAGAGACAAAATCTCAAGGCGTAACTTATCGAAGGTGATCTTCTTTGAAAACGTCTTGATGTGATTCGTAAACATATCTTATTCATTATAAGTACGGATTTAAAGTAGCATATTCAAATATAGTATATTTTAATAAGATATGTGGAAGAAAAGGAAAAGAAATAAATTAAAAAGACGAACAAAGAAATTAGAAATAAAATGAGAGGTGTACAACAAAAACGGACAAAATAATATAGGATAGAGTCCTAGAAAACAGAGATGCGACATTGAAGGGTATGGTCTGATTGGCTGTCTAAATCACATGACAAAGCACCAATCAAATAATCAAAGCGCCATTTTAATTCACTATTGCACCCAATGCACCAAGATACAG